ACACCTGGGGCACCTGGGGACACCTGGATACACCTGAGATACGCCTGGGGACACCTGGGTACACCTGGGGCACCTGGGTATGGCTAAGAACAACTGGAGTGCACCTGAATACACATGAATACACCTGAGAACCATTTAGATACACCTGGGAACACCTGGGTCACACCGCAGTACACCTGAGTACACCTGGGTGACACCTGGGTACACCTGACATACACCTGACTACACCAGGATGCACTAGCATACACCTAGATACAGCTGAGATCCATTTAGATACACCTGGGCACACCTGGGCACACCTGGGACACACCTGTGATACACCTGGGCACATCTGAGATCCATTCAGACACACCTGGGCACACCTGGGCACACCTGGGCACACCTGGGCACACCTGGGCACACCTGGGCACACCTGGGCACACCTGGGCACACCTGGGCACACCTGGGCACACCTGGGCACACCTGGGCACACCTGGGCACACCTGGGCACACCTGGGCACACCTGGGCACACCTGGGCACACCTGGGCACACCTGGGCACACCTGGGCACACCTGGGCACACCTGGGCACACCTGGGCACACCTGGGCACACCTGGGCACACCTGGGCACACCTGGGCACACCTGGGCACACCTGGGCACACCTGGGCACACCTGGGCACACCTGGGCACACCTGGGCACACCTGGGCACACCTGGGCACACCTGGGCACACCTGGGCACACCTGGGCACACCTGGGCACACCTGGGCACACCTGGGCACACCTGGGCACACCTGGGCACACCTGGGCACACCTGGGCACACCTGGGCACACCTGGGCACACCTGGGCACACCTGGGCACACCTGGGCACACCTGGGCACACCTGGGCACACCTGGGCACACCTGGGCACACCTGGGCACACCTGGGCACACCTGGGCACACCTGGGCACACCTGGGCACACCTGGGCACACCTGGGCACACCTGGGCACACCTGGGCACACCTGGGCACACCTGGGCACACCTGGGCACACCTGGGCACACCTGGGCACACCTGGGCACACCTGGGCACACCTGGGCACACCTGGGCACACCTGGGCACACCTGGGCACACCTGGGCACACCTGGGCACACCTGGGCACACCTGGGCACACCTGGGCACACCTGGGCACACCTGGGCACACCTGGGCACACCTGGGCACACCTGGGCACACCTGGGCACACCTGGGCACACCTGGGCACACCTGGGCACACCTGGGCACACCTGGGCACACCTGGGCACACCTGGGCACACCTGGGCACACCTGGGCACACCTGGGCACACCTGGGCACACCTGGGCACACCTGGGCACACCTGGGCACACCTGGGCACACCTGGGCACACCTGGGCACACCTGGGCACACCTGGGCACACCTGGGCACACCTGGGCACACCTGGGCACACCTGGGCACACCTGGGCACACCTGGGCACACCTGGGCACACCTGGGCACACCTGGGCACACCTGGGCACACCTGGGCACACCTGGGCACACCTGGGCACACCTGGGCACACCTGGGCACACCTGGGCACACCTGGGCACACCTGGGCACACCTGGGCACACCTGGGCACACCTGGGCACACCTGGGCACACCTGGGCACACCTGGGCACACCTGGGCACACCTGGGCACACCTGGGCACACCTGGGCACACCTGGGCACACCTGGGCACACCTGGGCACACCTGGGCACACCTGGGCACACCTGGGCACACCTGGGCACACCTGGGCACACCTGGGCACACCTGGGCACACCTGGGCACACCTGGGCACACCTGGGCACACCTGGGATACACCTGGATACACCTGGGAACCATTTAAATACACCTGGGAACACCTGGGTTACACCGCAGTACACCTGGCATACACCTGACTACACCTGACTACACCGGGTTAGATACGCATACACCTAGATACACCTGAGATCCATTTAGATACACCTGGGCACACCTGGGATACACCTGGGATACACCTGGATACACGTGAGTACACCTGGGATACACCTGGGTATGGCTAAGAACAACTGGAGCACACCTGGATACACCTGGGAGCCACTTAGATACACCTGGGTACACCCGGGACACACCCGGGGCCACCTATGACACACCTGGGGGCACCTGGGGGCACCTACGACACACCTGGGGCACACCTGGGCACACCCAGGGGTACCTGTGACACACCTGGGGGTAGCAATGGCACACCTGGGACGCACTGGGGGTACCTGTGACACACCTGGGGGTATCAATGACACACCTGGGGGTATCACCGACACACCTGTGACACACCTGGGGGTATCAGTGACACAACCGGGACACACCTGGGCACACCTGTGCCACACCTGAACATACCTATGACACACCCAGGGGTACCTGGGACACACCCAGGGATAACTGCGGCACACCTGAATACACCTGGGGACACACCTGTGACACACCTGGGGTACCTGCAACACACCCGGGGGTACCTGTGACACACCTGGGGGTACCTGTGCCACACCTGGGGGTACCTGTGCCACACCTGGGACAGCTGAGCCTCCACCTGCACAATGTGGAAATTAGTCACTAATTAATCACTAATTAGTGAAATTAGCTCATTATTAGCTGAAATTAGGGGGTTTCTAGGCAAAGTTAAGCTGTTATTCGTCAATTATTAGAACTAATTAAGGACTAATTGGTCTTTCTGAGCTCCTGCTCCACCTGCAGCTGCGCCTCCACCTGTACAGACCACTCATTAATTACTAATTAGTCCTTAATTAGTGAAATCAGCTCATTAATAACTGAAGATAAGGCATTTCTAGCCATAATTAAGTAATTATTAGCCAATTATTAGCAATAATTAAGCCCTAATTTGTCTTCTTGGGCTTCTGCGCCACCTGCACAGGTGAGCCATTAATCACTAATTAACCACTAATTAGTCAAATCAGCGCATTATCAGCCAATTATTGGCACCTGAAAGTATTAATCAATATTAGACACTTATTAATAATAATTAATGATTACCAGAAACTCATTAATTACTAATAGCAACCCTTTAAAAATCATAATTACTAGAACATCATTAACACGATCTCCCAATCATTAATAATTTATTCGCAGCTATTAATGACTATTAGCCATTAATTGGCATTAATTACCATTGATAAATTATTAAGTTATTAATAATTATTTAAACATCATTAGCAGTTATTAACTGCTCATTAACGGCTATTAATGACTTCCAGATGCACTAATTGCCATTAATAACCACTTAACAATCATTAATGACTATTAATAATTATTCAAACATCGTTAGCATAATAACTATTAATTATTCATTAATGGCTATTATTAATTTTTAACCACTAATTACTATTAATAACCAATTATAATTACTATCATTACAGCATCATTAATGCTTAATAATTATTAATCACTCATTAATGGCTATTAGCAATTATTGAACAGTTAATAAATCCTATTAATCACTATCAAGCAATAATTAATAATTATTAGCAGCTAATTAATGACTAATTAATGATCTTGGGGTCCAGCACCTGCCCTGCTCCCCCATTAACAGCTATTAAACAGCTAATAAACGCTATTAATTGCTAATAAATCATTAGTGGCTATTAAAACTTAATTAGTTAATTAATAATCAATAATTAATGAACTTTCTGGGGCTCACCTGGGCCTTGAGCACCTTGAGCAATCCCATAAATACCCAATACCCAACTAATTAACCCTATTAACCGCTAATAATCAGCTATTAATGCCTATTAAAACTAAATTAATAATAATTAATGACTAATTAATGATTTTTTTGGGGCCTCACCTGGGCCTGGAGGACCTTGAGCAAGCCCACAAACGCCTGATACCCAACTAATTAACCCTATTAACCACTAATAAACAGCTAATAATCCATAATAAAATTTAATTAATATTAATTAACAACTAATTAACGATTACTTTGGGGCCTCACCTGGGCCTTCAGGCCCAGCACCTGCTCGGCATGCCACAAACACCTAATACCCAACTAATTAACCCTATTAACCACTAATAAACAGCTATTAATCCCCATTAAAACTTAATTAATAACAATTAATGGCTAATTAGCGATTATTTTGGGGCCTCACCTGGGCCTTGAGGGCCAGCACCTGCTCGGCACGCCCACAAACGCCTGATACCCAACTAATTAACCCTATTAACCACTAATAATCAGCCATTAATGCCTATTAAAACTTAATGAATACTAATTAACGACTAATTAGCGATTACTTTGGGGCCTCACCTGGGCCTTGAGGGCCAGCACCTGCTAGGCACGCCCACAAACACCAAATACACAACTAATAAACAGCTATTAGCCGCTAATTAACAGCTATTAATGCCTATTAAAACTTAGTTAATGATAATTAATGAGTAATTAATTATTACTTTGGGGTCTCACCTGGGCGTTGAGCACCTTGAGCAAGCCCACAAACGCCTGATAACCAACTAATTAACCCTATTAACCACTAATAATCAGCCATTAATGCCTATTAAAACTTAATGAATACTAATTAACGACTAATTAGTGATTATTTTGGGCCTCACCTGGGCCTTGAGGTCCAACACCTGCTCGGCACGCCCACAAACACCAAATACCCAACTAATAAACACTATTAACCACTAATAATCAGCCATTACTCCCTATTAAAACTTAATGAATACTAATTAACGACTAATTAGCGATTACTTTGGGGCCTCACCTGGGCCTTGAGGGCCAGCACCTGCTAGGCACGCCCACAAACACCAAATACACAACTAATAAACAGCTATTAGCCGCTAATTAACAGCTATTAATGCCTATTAAAACTTAGTTAATGATAATTAATGAGTAATTAATTATTACTTTGGGGTCTCACCTGGGCGTTGAGCACCTTGAGCAAGCCCACAAACGCCTGATAACCAACTAATTAACCCTATTAACCACTAATAATCAGCCATTAATGCCTATTAAAACTTAATGAATACTAATTAACGACTAATTAGCGATTACTTTGGGGCCTCACCTGGGCCTTGAGGGCCAGCACCTGCTAGGCACGCCCACAAACACCAAATACACAACTAATAAACAGCTATTAGCCGCTAATTAACAGCTATTAATGCCTATTAAAACTTAGTTAATGATAATTAATGAGTAATTAATTATTACTTTGGGGTCTCACCTGGGCGTTGAGCACCTTGAGCAAGCCCACAAACGCCTGATAACCAACTAATTAACCCTATTAACCACTAATAATCAGCCATTAATGCCTATTAAAACTTAATGAATACTAATTAACGACTAATTAGTGATTATTTTGGGCCTCACCTGGGCCTTGAGGTCCAACACCTGCTCGGCACGCCCACAAACACCAAATACCCAACTAATAAACACTATTAACCACTAATAATCAGCCATTAATGCCTATTAAAACTTAATGAATACTAATTAACGACTAATTAGTGATTATTTTGGGCCTCACCTGGGCCTTGAGGTCCAACACCTGCTCGGCACGCCCACAAACACCAAACACCCAACTAATAAACACTAATAACCACTAATAATCAGTTATTAATCCCTATTAAAACTTAATTAATAACAATTAACGACTAATTAGCGATTACTTTGGGGCCTCACCTGGGCCTTGAGGGCCAGCACCTGCTCGGCACGCCCACAAACACCAAACACCCAACTAATAAACACTAATAACCACTAATAATCAGTTATTAATCCCTATTAAAACTTAATTAATAACAATTAACGACTAATTAGCGATTACTTTGGGGCCTCACCTGGGCCTTGAGGGCCAGCACCTGCTCGGCCAGCTCGTCCTTCTCCTCGCGCAGCAGTTTGTGGATCTGGTTGGCTTTGATGCGCTCCGACATCAGCTTGAAGTTGGCGTCGTCCTTCTCGCGCAGCTGCTGCAGCAGCCGCAGGTTCTGCTCCTGCATGTCCTCGAAGGCCTGGCCCGTCACGTCCATCTCCGACAGCAGCGCCTCCTCCTCCTGCCCGCCCGACAAGATGGCCGCCGTCAGCGGGCGGGGAGGAGTGGGGGATGTCAGCGGGAGGGGCAAGATGGCTGACGGGGGGGAATGGGACAAGATGGCTGATGGGAGGGAATGGGACAAGATGGCTGACTGGAGGGAACGGGACAAGATGGCTGATGGGAGGGAATGGGACAAGATGGCCGACATTAAGGAATGGGACAAGATGGCTGATGGGAGGGAATGGGACAAGATGGCCGACATTAAGGAATGGGACAAGATGGCCGCCATCAGCAGGCTGGGCAAGATGGCTGACGATAGGGAATGAGACAAGATGGCTGACGAGAGGGAACGGGACAAGATGGCTGCTGTCAGTGGGCAGGACAAGATGGCTGATGGGAGGGAATGGGACAAGATGGCTGACGGGAGGGAACGGGACAAGATGGCTGCTGTCAGTGGGCAGGACAAGATGGCTGACGGGAGGGAATGGGATAAGATGGCCGACATTAAGGAATAAAACAAGATGGCCGCCATCAGCATGCTGGGCAAGATGGCTGACAGTAGGGAATGAGACAAGATGGCTGCTGTCAGTGGGTGGGACAAGATGGCTGATGACAGGGAATAGGACAAGATGGCTGACATTAAGGAATAAAACAAGATGGCTGACGGGAGGGAATGGGACAAGATGGCCGCCGTCAGCATGGTAGGCAAGATGGCTGACACTAGAGAATGGGACAAGATGGCTGACAGTAGGGAATGGGACAAGATGGCTGACGGGAGGGAACGGGACAAGATGGCTGACGGGAGGGAATGGGACAACTTATTAGTCATTATTTGGGTCATTAACCCAAAGAACGAACGGCAGTTTCGGCGCTCGAGCTCCTCCAGCTCCCGCCAGCGCCCCCGCAGCTCCTCCAGCTGGGGAATTAATCAATTAACTCATTAATTAGTCACCAATTAGTCACTAATCCGGCATTAATTAGACACTTATTAGTCGTTATTTGAGTTATTAACCCAAAGAATGGACGGCAGTTTCGGAGCTCGAGCTCCTCCAGCTCCCGCCAGCGCCCCCGCAGCTCCTCCAGCTGGGGAATTAATCAATTAACTCATTAATTAGTCACCAATTAGTCACTAATCCGGCATTAATTAGACACTTCCCAAAGAATGCACGGCTGAGCAATTTAAAGAATGGACAGCAGCTTCGGTGCTTGAGCTCCTCCACCTCCTCCAGCTGCGCAATTAACTAGTTAACCATTAATCAGTCACCAATTAGTCACTAATAAATCATTAATTAGCGGTTTATTAGTCGTTATTTGGGTCATTAACCCAAAGAATGCACGGCAGTTTTGGCGCTCGCACGCCTCCAGCTCCCGCCAGGTACAGAATTCATCAATTAATCATTAATTAGTTGCTAATTAGTCATTAATTAGTCATTCATTAGTCTTTATTTGGGTCATTAACCCACAGTAATGAACAGCAGTTTTGGCGCTCGCGCTCCTCCAGCTGAGCAATTTATCAATTAATCATTAAGTAGTCGTTAATTAATCACCAATCAGTCATTAATCACACATTTATTAGTCGTTATTTGGGTCATTAACCCAAAGAATGAACGGCAGTTTCGGAGCTCGAGCTCCTCCAGCTGCGCAATTAATTAATTAACCATTAATTAGTTGTTAATTAGTCACTAATCAGGCATTAATTAGCCGTTCATTAGTCGTTATTTGGGTCATTAACCCACAGAATGAACAGCAGTTTCAGCGCTCGCGCTCCTCCAGCTGAGAAATTCATCAATTAATCATTAATTAGTCGTTAATTAATCACCAATCAGTCATTAATCACACATTTATTAGTCGTTATTTGGGTCATTAACCCGAAGGAATGAATGGCAGTTTCGCGCTCCTCCAGCTGGGAAATTAATTAATCATTAATTAATCCTTAATTAGTCACTAATCAGCTATTAATTAGCCATTTATTAGTTGTTATTTGGGTCATTAACCCACAGAATGAAAGGCAGCTCGTTAATTAATTATTCAATCATTAATTAATCCTTAATTAGTCACTAACCAGTCATTAATTAACCATTTATTAATCATTATTTAGTTCATTAACCCACGGGAATGAACAGCAGCTCCTTGGAGTGGCTGCCCCAGTTCATTAATTAATCACTAATTAGTTAACTAGTCATTAATTAGCCATTTACTAGTCATTATGTAGTCCACTAATCACTTTTCATTGCTAATTAACCAATTAATCAGCGAGAGATGATGACACAAAGTAACAACCAGGAAGAGTCGCTAATTAATTAATTAGATTAACTAATCATGCTTGCCCAGCTGATTAATAATTAGTCACTAATTAATAACTAATTAGTCATTATTAGCCCTTAATTAAGGAATTAACGGGAGTTGTTGGGAACAATTAATGACCCAGGGCAGCTTTGCCTCCACCTGATTAATTAACTGCTAATTAGCCACTAATCCATACTAATTACTCATTAACCAATTAATCAGTGGAACTAACAGGAATAATTAACGACCAGGCAAAGCTCAGCATTAATTAGCATCTCATTTGTTTAATTGCGTCCAATTTCCTGCTTTGCCCAGCCCCTAATTAACGGCTAAAACCTCATTAACTCCTCGCTAATTAGCGTGCACCACTGCAGGAACCCAACCTGCCTAATTAGCATTAATTAGCATATCATTACCCTCATTCCCTCTGACTTTTGTGCTGCTAACGAGCCCTAATGGCTCATTAACAATTAATTAACACCTCATTTGCATTTGCAAGGAAATGCAACAATTCCACAGCATTAATAACCACCTAATTAGTGTTAATTAGTGCTAATTAGCCACACCTCATCCCTTTTTCTGCCTTGCCCAGACCCTAATTAACGACTAAAATCTCATTAACCCCTAATAACTCATTAACAACTAATTAAAACCTCATTAGCATTCCAGGGGAAGTACAACACTGATTACGGCCTAATTAGCATCAATTAGCATCTAATTACCCACATTTGATCCCATTTGCTGGCATAATTAGCATTAATTAACACCCACAGACACGCATTTCATGTCTTGCATAATCAATAACCTCACGCCCGTTCATTTGGCTCCACACTTTTAATTTTGTTCCAAAATCCCAAAATTTGCTCTCAAAAATCTCAAGAATTGACCCCAAATTTCATCATCTTCTGCTTCTCCTGCCGGCCATTTCCAGCTCATTTACATATCATTTGCATATTCAGAAACCTCACACCCATTCATTTGGCTCCACCCCTTTAATTTTGTTCCAAAACCCCAAAATTTGATTCGAAAGGAGCCCAAAAATCGACCCCAAATTTCATCTCCGTCTGGTTCTCCTGCGCCATCCTGCCGCCACGCCCAGCTCATTTGCATCTCATTTGCATATTCGGAAAACCTCACGCCCGTTTATTTGGCTCCACCCTTTTAATTTTGTTCCAAAACCCCAAAATTTGACTCCAAAAGAGCTCAAGAATTGACCCCAAATTTCATCTTCTTCTGCTTCTCCTAACGGCCGTTTCCAGCTCATTTGCATCTC